CCCCAAAACCCCAAAACCCCAAAACCCCAAAACCCCTTATAATTCATGCATATAGAATTTAGAAAACGATTAGGGCAACCACATATTCTGTGCAAAATTTAAATAGTCTTATGCAGAGAATGCTGCTTAGAAATAGTCAACAATCGATATGATTTCAAATAGCTCCCTGACTGTGTAATTAAAATTAGTTTTGGCCTATATAGCAGGTTAGATACCAACGTAAAAATGTATGAAAACTCCAACATGAGCATTCTAGGAAAGGAAAATGGTTCTTACACAAAGACCTTGTCTTAAAATGGAGTGTCTGTCATAATCTTGAGCAGCATCTTGCTCGCGAGCATGCCTTCCTCTGTAGGCATTTTTGTTTGGCCCCATTACAAGAGTTTGCCATTTCTTCCCGTTCAGAGATACACCTCTAAACTTCGAACTCCTAGGACCACTATGCTTCTTCTTTGGGTTTGCTTTGATTATGACCTTATCTAGTGGTAAACCTCCAATAGCTTCTTTAATTTCTAATTTTTTAGCCTGGATTACTTCAGTGACGTATTGTTTGTTCGAGTCTCTATGGAAGGAATTAAACCAATAATTTATCAAACGTTCGCTATAATAAGTTCTTTCCAACCATTTAAAGGTACTAATAGATTGTCTCAAAACTAACGGAATCTATTATGAACTTAGCAAGAATAACAGTATCTTTCAATACTATCTTTAACTAAATTTTCAAGAGCAAAAAGAGATGAACAATGAATCTTTTAGGGGGATATAGTGAAAGTTTCCCACAAAAATTTCAAATTTTCTGAAAAGAGCTGGGTCTTAGCGGCCATTTGGAGGAAATATGAGTTAGAAAAGAGAGAAAATCAAGAAGTCCTTTGTAATAATTCTTCTTTGTCTAAACTTAATCCAAGTTTTACTTGGATTGTAATGATCCATAAAAATAAAAGCGACATAAAAATGGTAGCAGAGTTTTTATGAATGCTGTTAAACAGGAAGAAGAAGGTTTTCTTGACTTCTCATATTGCAGAGAAATTGTAAAAACCCTCGATTATGATAATATCATTTCACCTCTCCAAATGTGGGTTATAAAGAAGATTTGATACACTTCACCCTGCTTCTTCAAGAAAATAATGGATAGCCATAATTTTGTCAGTTAAAAGAAGATTAGCACCTATCTATCGATATTTTTGAGTTATCCTTATAAACAGGCTTGCTTGCGATCTGTTGCAGTAAATTCTGAATGATAGTCAGAAAAGTTCCGAGATACTATGCCACGAGATCACCAGATTGAGGGTAAATTTCAGACAAAATAAACCAGAACAGACAGGCGGGAGAGGAGTGCTAAATTTTCCAACATGCTAGAGTCCAGTCCTCATTTTTAAAGTTTAGAAAATATTATTAGCACTTATTTTGCCACGGACTTTCTAACAGGAGATTATATTAGTATTGAGGTGAGCATATTCTCTAGAAAGAATATTGGATGCAGAGACACCCCTTTTGTGTATAACTCTTGAGTTAACCCCTCTAAGATTATGAGAAAATTCAAGAAATGTAATCCGGGATTCTGCATGAACTAGCTAAAGTTTTTACCAAATTATGCAAGATTTAGGACATCATTTAATTTGAAACCTCTTTTAGACCCGAATTTTTCAAATATTGCTAATTTTCAAACTAAGTTAATGTAATCTCAGACACTGGAGGAATTATCAGTCTAATATTAAATCAGTAAGAGGCGTAGTACGAAATATCTGAGCAAATCCTCTTGAGAATGTTATCAGAAATGAATAAAATACAAAGGATATATATTACCCACATATCCACCCAGGCAGCTCCTTCACTAAAAGGGAACGCAAGCAGTGGAATCAGAGGGATTTTTAGAGTAGAAATTAAGGTAAATTTATTCAGACACTCGGATTTACAGGGTCTTTTAGGAGGGATTTGGGTTAGTCTAAATTTTAGGGTTCGCTGAATCCTGACATAAGAGGAAATATTTAGAGGTTTATTTACAAATACTAATTTTATTGGCTTCTTGTCTCCTGAGTATATAGCACTTGTCTTAGGCTACCATTTGGAGTTTCTTAACCGAGGAGCAATATTATAAAAAACGAAAAATTATAATATAGGTAGCATTCAAGGGTCTTTCTGGAGAAAATTCCAACAAGATTTTATTTCAAAGTGCAACTTAATCTAACGATATAGAAATGAAATAAACAATAGGATTCCGTGATATCCTAACCTATATAAAGGCTGCATTATCTATGTAAAGTTTGAGATCAAAATTTCAAAAGAATAATAAAATATTTCCTAAACTACATCATGGAAATATGGAGTTTACTGCCATAAATACTACTTTTATTTCCTTGATACGACAATTTCTTTCAAATAGAAATCTTCTCAAGCATGTAGAGCTTTCAATGGTCTCTCCCATGTAAAAGGGAGAGACAAATTACCTTCTACGTATTATGCAGCTAGAAATCCATGAGATCTCTGGCGCTAGCAAGCTGTGGGAGTGCTAATAGGGTCTTGAAATATAATCAAAGGCAAATTCATAAGAAAAGAGTTGAAATAGTATTATTCCCATAGCTTCATGCTCAAATTGATCGCAAATAAAAGTAGCTAGTTTGGATGGGTATGTAAACATATGTAATGGGAATCTTTTAATTTACCTTGATTTCTGACTGTCGCTCTCGCAAGGCTGGATCTTTTGAGGAGAATTCATATGGGAATAACCAAGTCCATCTCACAGGCAATACTGTTTCGCCATCTCTTCATAAATCGCTTGCTCTTGTTGTATCTGCTGATAGAGGAAAAAGTAGGGGGAACAGTCATAAATGGCATTCCCGATATCTCCTTGCTTTCCAAAAATTGAAGTTTTGTTAGGAGAAAGTGATTTTCCTCCATTCAGGATTTCAGAAATTTGGTTGAGGGAGTTTGCCAAGTTTAGGTCCATGTTTCACCGGAGTAGTAAGTTAAATTATTATATGTTGAAGTTCCTAGTTTATCAATATTTCCTGTATTAAGGGGTTTTGGGGTTTTGGGGTTTTGGGG